TTGCACCTTGTACCATTTCTTTGTCATTTTGGCCAAATGGCCTTTTCCCATTCATTTCATTCATTTTTAGGTTTTCCAGATTGTTCTATGAGTAATTCTATTTTAATCTTCCTTAGTTTCAAATTAATGTTCACCAGAGTGGGTGGAAGGCTTGATTTAGGCTGCCACTAGTAGTCTTCTTTATATTTGTTTTTCCTTTTTCTTTTTTCTTTGTTAATTATTGTTCATTTACTTGCTTTATTTTTTTAAAAATTTTGCTTAATCTAATCTTATCAAATGGAAGACCCAAGCAAGGCCTAAAATCATCGAAGTTTAAGGAGACTTGGAATGCCCAATTTAAAATTTGGGCTTAATATCAACCCGTAAACAAAAAATAAATGCAAATAAAAATAAAATAAAATTAAAAATAAAAATGATAGCAAATAAAAATGAAACTATAGTAATATTAGATTAAAATAACTAAATATTTAAAATTAAAATTAAAAATAAAAAAATATCTATAATAAGCTTAAAGTGAAACTACCAAAAGAGGGTTGAATTGGTTGTTAATTAAATTTTTTTTTTCAAAAATCAATTCAACTGTGAAAGAATAAAACAATAAAACAATGTATGAACTTAATGAGTAAAGAGTAGCAAAGTATGATGGGATTCAATAGGATTTTTATAGAGGTTCAACCTTTCAATGCCTACATCGTCTCCCTTGATAGCACAAAGAATTTGAATCCATTATTAGCTTGCCTTTTCAACAAGGTCAGGTGTAACTTTTATAATATCCTTTTTGCAAAATTAGACATAACCTCTACAACTTGCCTTTTGCAAGATCAAGTGTAACTTTTACCAAGACAATACCTTTTTAAGTTAAAACACAACCTTTATATGAGAATAAGTCTTTTAAAGACCAAGCAAAACCCTTCTATCTGTTTCTTAGAGGTATCACTAATACAATAGTAGATTCAATTGAACCACAAACTAGAAGCCTTTAGAAAGGTACATAACAAAGTTTAGGTTCAAAAAGGTGAGAGCTTACTCAAAAATAAGGATGATCAATGAAGGTATAAGCTCAAGAAGTATTAGTAAAGAATACAGATGAGAATTGTAGGCTTTTTGTTTGTTCAAAGGTCAAAACGTTTTGCTCACAATCATTTCTCCTCTTTTTTTGCTTTTTTGCTTTTCAAGGACGATTCAAAATCTTTCAAAATCCTCTTCTCTTTTTTCTTTAACATCTTCAAGATGTATATTTATAGCCTCTAAGATTTTTTTTCCCGTTAAAGTAAGTTTTGAATCATTTCTTGTATGTTCAAGCCAACTTGCACAATTTTGTTGCTTTTTGTAGAATCGATTATTTGTAGTTGAGATGTTGATTCTTCGCAAAATCTATAACTTTCTATCTCTGAAGAATCGATTTTTTAATTTAAAGGTGTCGATTCTTCTACAATTAGACATAAGGGTGATGCCTTTGCAAATTGATTCTTTTACCTTAAGGAGTCAATTCTTCACTGTAGACCGGTGCCTAATTTGAAGTCAACCTTGAATTTTGCCATTCTACTTTTGTCCAAATATGCCATGCCTTTTTTGGTCACTAAGTTTTGGAGTTGTACTTTTAATGCTTCAAAAACCAACTTCTTCTCCTTGTAGAATTGATTCTTTCTTCTTTGCTTTTCTCCATTTATATTCTATCTCTCCAAAATCAATTCTTTGTATTTGATTTGTCAATTCTTCACAAATCCTGTCTTCCCAGAACTGACTTCTCCTTTTCTAAAAATCGATTCTTCATTGTTAATCTTTGCTCGAGAGCTTACTTATTCTTCTTTAGAATTGATTCTTCCTATAATTGAAGAAATAGATTTTCTTCCTTTTCATTCAAGAATCTAGTCATTTCTTTTGAAAGCTTTATCCTTGGGCTAGCATATTTAACTTTAAAAACAAGAGACTTCTGAGAAAATTAAGAGCATGATCATCCATATTAAAAATATGTTCAAATAATTAAAGCATTTCAATTTTTTTTCTATTAATTTCAGCTTTAACAATTCTTTGAGATTTTTCTTCATACGTAAAAATATCTTTCACTTTCAAAGCTCATTAAGTTCAATCAATTTTGTTATGTCAAAATAAGAATAAAGCTAACAAAATAAAACCAACAACATCATTAACAGTCATCAAATAACATTTGTGACGGAATAACCCTCGTTCACCGTGAGTCCCCTAGTATAACTCCCGTCGACATTAGTGTGCACATATAGGGGAATGGAATCACAGCCTCACTCTTTTTACTCTCATTGAGAGGTGGTAATGGAATATCCTTCATTACCTTATGGTAACATTGGAATGAAATCAATGCCTCATTCCTTTATCAAAAAATGGTAATGCAAAAATCCTTCATTACCTTATAAGTTTTGTTAATAAAATAACCCCCATTAACCATGAGCAACAACCAACATTTCACATCTTATTATTGAATACTCATTTTATAATTCACCTTCATCCATTTAACACATAGTGTTCATTTGACATCTTATTGTGTCCTCATACTCATAACATGTGGTATGTGAAACTACCTCACATGCTTAGCATTATGCCATTCAACTTGTGCTTATTCTCATATCATGGACTATATGGAAATTACCTCACATAGCTTAGCATAATTTACATCATATGCCTATTCTCATTCATGTGGTATGTGGCAATGTCATCACATACAAATTAACAACCAACATGTAGTCCTTCATAACCTCATTTACACATGTGGAATTAATCATCATATAATTATTGCAATTTAGAATGCTTCAAGCATTTCATACATATCTCATAAAATTAAGTGGTGGTTTTGGCATAAAACGTTTGAAAGGACTTGTTCTCCCTTATTGAAAACTAACATATAATAAAATATTTACAAATATGTAGTAGCTTTGAAAATTATTTCCAGAATAATTTCTCATCCATAAACACATTTTTAATTAGTAACATATTTATGAGAAACCGTACTCATTAATAAACCATCAAATCATGCTTCAACGTTACATACTAAAATAATTTGAAAATAGTGTATCTGTTCACCTTGACAAAATCATGCTTCTAAGCCTCGCTTTATCAAACCTCACTCGTTCTATAATTCATGAGCTCAATGCAACCTAACATAATGATTTCTAAAATAAATTTCTTACTTTTCCAACAAACTTGTTTATTCGAAACTAACTAATTAAACCCATATTTTTTCGTTTCAAGCCAATAACCCACAATACTTTAAACCCAATTAATATATAATGAAACCTTAGTTGTTTTTACCACCACAGCCTTGTTGAAAAACAAAAACCTCCTAAATCTTAGCTCAAATTCAAATTAAAAGAGTTGAAATTTACAAAACCCTTGAGCTAGGTTGAAACATTGTGATTAATATCTAAAAATTCTGAAACTTACCTTAGATTCAAGTTTGGAAGGTTGAATTTTTGTCCAATGGGTTTTTGAAAGGTTGGAAAGGGTTTGGTGGTTGTTGGGGACGAGTTGGAGTCTAGGAAAATGAAAAATGAAGGCTAGGGCTCATGCTAAACATGTTATAGTTTTTTCTGTCAAAAGGCACTAGGATTGACTAGAGAAGCTATGGATTGACTGAAGCTTCTCAAGTCTTTGATATTTTCATGTAATCTACCTTAAGATCAACTAGTGAAGTTATAAGATCGACTGGGGCTTTCAATTCTTCAAGATTTTCATGCAATATACCATAGGATCGAGTTGTAACCATTGGGGATTGATCCTCCAAGTTTAAACTTATAAAAATACATTCATATGCCTTACTTTTTCAACCATTCCCTTACCATCATTCATCCATGAATATAACACAATAATATGGAGAAATTTACATCAAATGATAAGGAATTCTCATGGATAATCATCACCAATGTATGATTCATCAAAATTCAATTTTTTACCAAATTTTCACAATATATAAAGATAGGGATTTCACACAAGGTCTCCTAAATTTGATGCGTAGAATTTATGTAGAAAATTGCTGATGCAATCATTAGTTTTACTGACTTGAGCATCCAAGTCACAATCACGTTATTACACTTTGTCCAAAGAATAAACAATTCAACTATCGACTTTGGCTCCTTAATTAATTTGTCCACAAAACCATATTTCTTTCAAATGGACAACGCCAGTAGGAACGATTTTCTCTAAGAAAGATAGTTGGTAGAAGTCAATTTGGAGTTTATTGTTACTACTCCATAATGATAGGAATGACGAATGAAACAAGGCGATTGATGATCTTCTAATGGTGAAATTGAAATTTTTGAGGATGAAACAACCATCATAAGGTTTCAATTGAAGAAATAAAGGAAAATTTGACAACAAGAATCGAAAACGGAGAAATTTCTTAATTTCTTGATTAATAATGACAATTGTCGTTAGTGTCCCAAGATATGATCGAAGACTTCAACCAGTTCTCTAATACCATGTGAGAGTTCTAGGATCAAATTGCAAATTGATGATAATCAAGAAAGAGAAAACATGTGATGAGAGAGGGAAAATGTGAAATTGAATTTTTGTTCAGGTAGTTGAAAGCTGTTACAATTGTATTATTTATATACAACAGATTTACTGCTCAACAACAAGTTTAAGCAACTAATCCTAACTTAGCCAACTCTAATTAGAAAGGCTATCTCTATTTAACTTAAGCTTCCTCATGCTCCTCACGTGTGCAGCTTCATTTCTATCATACAGCATGCCTTGTCAACGTTTGCTACATAAATCATCTTTTTAATATCATACTCGGGACATGGAGCCTGGGTGCGAGGAAAGCGAGACAGGGCGCAGGGGACACAAAGCCCATGACCTTGTGAGGGGGGGAGAGGGTAACAATCGGCGGAAGTTGCAAGGAAGAGACGGGGAAGGGAGGGGCAGTGGGCCCTACCCCCACGCGGAAGATGATGTCATCGTTTTGTTCTGCCTTTATTTATTATTGACTAACAACTTCTGCTAACTCTTTATATTGGTGCTGTCAAAGTTGAATTTCAACCTCAACAATCAAACCATTCTTGGCTTTGTTTTTGCTTTTACTTTTGGATCAAGTGGTCAACCCTTATCTTCAATAGCCAACACTGCTTTTGTCTTCCTTTGCTTCTATTCCGTGTGTTAATGCCTTTAACAATAATAATAATAATACGAGTAAATACTAAACGCCCTTTTTTTTCCTCTGCTCTGACCTCTCAGACTTTCCAACCCTTCCCTCTCTCTCTTTCTCTCTCTCTCTTCTTTTTTCCGTTTCTGTGTGTTGGGTGCATACACGCACACACTCGCGAGGAAGAAAACGCATCAGGGGATTCTACTAATTTTTATATGTTGAAGACATGAGCAGAAGTTCATCTGTTGCAGGTGCCTCCCGCCCTGTTAAAGAAGCCGGCTTCTTTACCAAGATCAAGGTAACTGTTCCTTTTTCTCTGCCTACCTGCTGTTTAACTTGTAATTCAATTCCGTTATCTTCTTTTGGATTTGGGTAGACTTGGAAATAAACATCAGATTGTTGCCTGCTTTTCGAATTACATGATGATGATGATGTTGTTGTTGTCTGTGAATTTTGTTTCTGGATTGCAGAATGTTGCTTGCCTCAAGTCTTCTTCATCAGACAAAGGAAAAGGTGGAAAAGGGAAAAGTAAGTCATCGAGTACCAAAGTGTCCCACGGATTCCACTTAGTCGAAGGTCAATCAGGCCATGATATGGAAGATTACCATGTTGCTGAATACAGAAAAAGGAGGAATCATACGCTTGGATTGTTTGCAATCTTTGATGGTCACTTGGGGGATCGCGTGCCCACTTATTTGAAAGACAACCTGTTCAACAATATACTCGAAGAGGTATCTTTTTTTTACCATCACTTCCCTTTCTCCCAATTGCTTCTTTAGCTCCCCTTCACCCATGTGAATGTCATACAGCCAAATTTCTGGAAAGACCCTGAGGCAGCAATAAGGAATGCATACCGCTCCACGGATAGGGTCATATTGGACAACTCTATGCAATTAGGGCCAGGTGGCTCTACTGCTGTAACTGCGATTGTTATTGATGGCAAAGATTTATGGGTAGCAAACATTGGTGACTCAAGAGCTGTTGTGTGTGAGAGGGGCTCTGCCAATCAAATTACCGTGGACCATGAGCCGCATGCTGAACGAAGAAGGATAGAGAAGCAGGGTGGCTTTGTGACTACTCTTCCAGGTAATATATATATATATATATATATATGTATGTATGTATGTATATATAATTACGTTTCCATTTATCACTCTCTGCACTAGGATCATACCAAACTGGTTATGCCACATCTACATGATTGACAGCAGGCTACACCAATGTATTTGTGATTGTTTAATTAAAAAAATATTTTGACGATGAAAATGTGATTCTTATTTCAGGAGATGTGCCTAGGGTTAATGGCCAACTTGCAGTTGCACGGGCTTTTGGGGATCAAAGCCTTAAAGCACATTTAAGCTCAGAACCTGATGTCAGACATGTTCCCATAGACTCGACTATTGACTTTGTAATACTGGCTAGTGATGGATTATGGAAGGTCAGTTAAATAGGTTATTTGTTATAGCATTTGATCTCTATTCTGCATCTCTAGGTTCGGCTGGTGCATGGAGCACCTACAGGCTCTAGCAATTGCACATGTGTTAAGTTGTCTGTTGAACATAAGAGCTGGATACATCTTTAAAAGAAAAAGAAAATAGAGAAATTGGGGGGAGGGTGGGGATGGTGGACTGCAGCCCTGGTTCATCTGAAGAAGAAGAGGACACTGGGGAAACAAATAGAAGAACCAGAGGGAGAAGATTTAATTCCATTATCTCAATTTCCAAAAATCTCAATAATTTATAATCTGAAACCTCCTGAAAGTGAAATAACATAGGTGACTATAAACTAACTTTAAAAACTAATGGAAATGCAAAATATAACAACCAAATGCTCTAGCACTTGGAAAATAAGCAATATACTGGTTAATATAATATAGCCTAAATAATCTTAAAATCTGACATCTGTATCTGTGTAAACTTTATAACTAATAAGTTATAAAATTACAAGATAAAATGATTTGTAGTTTAATCTGTCAAGTAACTCTGTTTTGTCCTACATGTATAGATTTCTTTTTGGCCAGGGATAAAATTTTGATGCATTAATCATTTGGAAAATCATCTCAAAATGTTCCTTAATAAAGATTAATACAAGATACTTTCTGCTGACCTTTCTCTCTGTATTTTCAAAATTTTGAAATGAAGTATTGAAACTGCTTACTGCTTGGTGCATTCTTAGGTAAAGGGTCAGAATTTTCTTAAAGAATAGGCTCTCTTTTTTTTTTTTTTTATTTTGGGTACAGACTTAATGGATAGCATGGATTATTGTGAGTTTTAAATTTTAGGGGGTTGGGTGGGAGTTGGACAATGAAGTTGTCATTTAGTATTCACTTAGCTCCTTTGTTATGATGCAAATTTTTCTAAACTTGAAAGTGGGCTGCATGTGTGTGCACATGCATAAATATGTACAGTTATATTTAGTTGATATCTTAATTTGAATCTTCCTTTCACAAAGCTATTAGAGAGAGAGAAAAAATTTCTGCTCTTGCTGAAATAGTTAATTAAAATCTTCCTTAACAAAGCTTTTCAATGATCTCAACTCTGTTTTGTTTATTAATTTGAACACCCGATCTCAGACAGACCTTAATTCATTGTAGTTTTAATTTTAAGAGATTTCTTCCACAAGATCCCTTGTCTAATTCATTCATAAATCATTCCTTTGATGTAACTGTGAGAGATAAGTTAAATATCTGGTCAACAGTAAGACAATGCTTTCTTGCGAGTGACTTCATTAGGGTTGATTTATAGCGTTATCCGCTAAAAGCACCTCAGTAGTGAATAATATAGATGTTATTACAGTTTTCGTGTCACAGTAGCTGATAGGACTGAGAAAGACTAGAGAATTTCAGTCATCTGTATTGTTATGCTTCACCAATCTTAAGACAAGTTCCTCAACCACAAGCATATCATAGGGGATTCTTGATTTGGCTGATTTCCTCTCTCTCTCTCTCTCTCTCTCTCTCTAGTCGTTGTAGAGTTGGTGGACAAGCTATGCTAAATTCTGAAGGCAAATGAGCATTTTTGTTTTGTTGAATATTTATTAGTTTATCTATGTACAATTGAATAACCAACCTACTCTAAGGAATAAGTTGCTCAAGTTTGAGCTAATGATTTATATAGTTGCTTAAGCTCAGCGCGAACTTAGGTCAAGAGTTCCAATACTGAAGCTTAGCATGTTAATTGCATCAGCAATTTGAGATTGGCTCAACTACCTCTCCTTTGTTGAATAGATTGTGCTCCACATTTTTTGATTAAGGTAGAGCTCAATTTTAAAACTTTAAAAAACATATATTTTTATTGGAGTTTAATTGAGAAGAGATGCCACTCTTATCTGTTCATGAAAGAAGTCAATTTTAGTTTTTTTTTTTATGAAAGAACTCTTGCTTAAAATATTGTCCAAATTTTAGTTGGATGACATGTCAAATATTTGATTGGTTAATATAAGAAAATAGTTTTCTGTTATTTATTTTTATTTTTTCTTTTTCTGAGTTTGACCATTATATTAATACAAGTTTGAACAAGTCTCTTAACAAAATGATCGCGTAAATAAATTTGATATGCCTAGAAGTTGTATGAATTCACTTTGTGAGACAATAGAGAATTTAGGCCCCCCAAGGAGACAAATATGTTGGAGTGAAGCAAGAGCATTCTAGAATCTTTCTAATTGTTTATCTAGATATGTTTTCCTTTATGTTTACTGTTTTACTATAATTATTGGTTTGTAATTATGTTTTTATTTTACTAAGTGGTCATGTGTATCTAGCACGTGATCTCCTAATGAGTTTGAATGGCTAGGATTAGATGGAGCGTCAGTATGTTTAAGGGCTAGGAATATAAATTGCTATAACCCTAGTATAAATAGTCTTTTATACTCATTAGGCAGCCATATTATCTTGGATTATTTTCCTTTAGAGGTTCCACAATCATAAACCCTAGTCATTTTGTTCCTACTTCAATTTTACATCAATTTTAGCCTTTGTTTGGTTTCCTTTCATTGTTTTGGTTTTCTTTTTTAATGTTTTTACTTCCACACTGCATTATGGAGGTCTCAAGTTCAAATCTTCAGAAATGGGTGGTGGGGTGCTAGGACCTTTGTAGAACTTATGGCACAAAGTGCAAAAAACAAAAGGCGTAACACTTAAAAAAGCCTTGGAACTATTAAGAAAATTCAAATATGTTCTTATTTTTCTATTGCAATTAATCAAGTCGCTGTACTTTTATTGGGGATCAAATAGACCCTTATGACGGATTAACATAGTCAATATGCCACTTGTCATTTTTATGTCCACGTGGAGTTGAAATGGCACTGACGTGATGGGTGAAAATGGCATGTGGTTATGTCATCATATCACATCAACATGTCGCATTATCATCCATCATAACATGTTAGTATCACGTGACATAAAATAATTAGTGACATTTTGACTAACGATAATTAGTCAACCATTAGTCATAAGAGTCTATTTGGCCTAAAATAAAAGTTTAAGGGCTTGATTAAACGCAATAAAAGAATAGGGGTTTATTTGAAGTTTCCTAAATAATTCAAGAGCCTTTTAGATATTATGCGAAAAACAAAAAGATTTAGCTTTTTACATAAAAGAAATTAATTGTTTAGTCCACTTATTTCTAAAAATAATAAATGTGCATAAGAAAAGATTTATTATTCTATTAACTTTAAAACATAAAATTGTATTAATAAACCTCAAAAGTCGATTTATTCTATTGCGTAATGTATTACAAAGACATAGCATTAGCACAATTAACTTAACTAAAAGCACCATCAAACTTTAGCTCTAAGTTCCTTCACTCCCTCAAACAAGAAGTTACTAATTATTTTTTACAAAACATTGGCATTTCATCATGCTTTCAAAAGACACATATATTGTTGTTTGTCAATGATAATACCACTAACTAAGGGGTGCTTCTTTCTTTCACCTTTTGCCTTTCAAGGCATTAGCATTGGTAGAGGGCCTCTATTGGAGGTATTTGCCTGTGCTGGATTTCTCTGTGCCTTGACAGCACTGTTCTGATCATTGGTCCCCCTGTCCCCTCGACAACATTGACTATATGCTAAGGCTCCTGAAGTACAGATCCTAAGAATGAAGACTTTTATTCTTTATTTTGAAAATTTGCCCTCTTGAATATGCTATTGCAGTTTTTCCTCACATACTCTGGAGTTTTTGGCGAGGGTCATGGGTGTAACCCAAACCCTTTTCCCCTCATTATTGGTTAAAACTAAAAAATTAGTACTAGCAGAATTTTTAAGTTTTCAGTTAAGAAAACTAGTGCTGAAGTTGTTTTATTAGCTTGATGGCTGTAGCAATTTACAATTGAAAAATGCATAGTAAGTTATAATAGGATATAATGTAATAACATGAGTTGGTCACATAGCACTTGCAGGAGACGGCTGTGGTGGTGATGGTGACAATAGTTAATGTTTCCGCTAGGGAGTACACTTGTGGTGGTTGTGCTGGTGTTAGTTTTACCAATTATGGTTGTGCTGTTGACTATATTAGCAAATAATAACTATTAAGGTGGTGGCTATGCTGGCTGTGGTAATGCTGATGTCATGGTCTTTTAACATTTGACATGGCTTGGTAGTGTTTGTGGTGGTGTGATGGTTTCAATGTCAGCTATGGTTGTTTGACATCCTTAAGGCACTTAATGCTCTTTATTTTTGCTTGAGGGATGTTGGGTTGGATTAATAAAGTTGAAATCAAAGCACTTGGGTTATCTAGTCCAACAGATTATCTTGGCATGTGTTAATTGTGAAGACACTTCAACATGGACCACTATAATGAGAAATAGGTTTGTCTCATCTAAACAGAATACCATCATCTGAAACCATCCTCTATTTTAGGTTTTGCTTGGTAGGAAGGATGGGAAAGGGGAAGGATGGACAATTTTTTTAATCTAATGGTTAGGTTTCATAACCACCTTTCTATTTTGTAGCTTGACCATTCGATTATAATTTTTTCCTTCTCACTTTCCATCCTCCCAACCAAGCAAAGCCTTACTGTGCAACCTAACTTTTTCTTTGATATCTTCCTACCTTTTGGCTTTGCTTGGTTTTGTGAGCAATATTCAATAAAAAGTTGGGAGCCAAAAAAAAAAAAAGTTGGAAGCCTCTGTTCAGTCCGTGCTTCCCTGTGTGTTAGATACATGGGTGGTCATTTTAAGGTAGTGCTGTGAATCACAATGTTCTTCATCAGGTAGCCTATTGCTGATTTGATTGTTTGTTGGCAAGTGAGATTGGTCTTTGAGAGGATAAAATGGGGATCGTGGTCTAGGGAGGGTGAGATTGATCTTTTCTTCCACAGAGTGCAGAGTCATTGGAAATTATGTGCAGGGAATATGGTGCAGTGGGAAGCAGAAACAAGAAAAAGAAAAAGTATAACAGTTGAACAAGACCAGAATAAAGGCTAAAAATTGATGATTTATATGAAATCAAAGTTAGAACAAGATAACTAGGGTGTAGGGTTGTAGAACCACTGAGAGTTAATATTCCAATATAATACGTCTGCCTAATGTGTCTAAAAGACTACTTATAATAGGGTTCAGCAGCTTGTAATTCTAGCCCTTAAAAACGGATAAACCACATCTAATCCAGCCATTCAAACTCATTATGAGATCACATTCTAGTCACTTGATCGCATTCTTAGTATTAAAATTGTGCACTTAAGTTTTCAATATCAAATTTTTTCTATCAAACACCATCTCCAGAATCCATTTATAAATAAGTTTGTACTTAACTTTTCAATATCAAATTTTTTATTTTATCAAACACCGCCTAGCTTGCTGGATTACAAATTGGTATGCTATGAAAGGGTGGTGTTTCTTCTTTCTGTTATACTTGTCCTGTTCATTACTACTACGAATAGGTTACTTAGCAGAACTTTAGAAGACTACAGTTGTTACGAAGGCATTATTGTTTAATGTCGACTGAAGGGGTTGTTGAAGGGGAAACTTATTCTTTCGAAAGAACCCTGGAACATCTTATTTATATATCAGCTAATCTAGTTATTAATCCTCATTTATATGTTTAACTAATGATGGAAAGTAAATCAAGTACATTTTGAGTGGTGGAATCATTTAACAAATATATGGAATGTTTATATGGAAATGATTGTCATGTGTATCCATGAACAAAGCCCTGGGGTGATCCTTTTTTTCTGCCCTGCAAAAATTGATCATATTTTTCTAAATCTTGGCTGGTTTTGTAGCCAAGACTTATTTGAATGGAAAGTGATATAACATATTGTAATTAGGTATTAATGAAAATGATGAGGGCTTCTTTATTTCTGTGTTTGCTGCAAGTAGCCCAGGCATGAATACTGGTGGTGTTCTTTTTTGTTGCAAGTAATCCAAAAATAACTTGTTTGATTTGGTTGGCAGGTTATGAAGAATGAAGAGGCAGTTAATTTGGTGAAATCCATAAAGGACCCTCAAGCAGCAGCTAAACGATTAACAACTGAAGCATTGGCAAGAAAGAGCAAAGATGATATATCATGCATTGTAATTCGTTTTGGTTGATGCTACTAAGGCCAAAGCTTTTGTTGGCATTGTTCCTCCTGAACCTTCTGTTGGTTGGTTCCATTGGAAGGTGTACATAGGGGAACTCTTTGACATGGAGAGCTTCATCTATGTGGTACATGTCTTTGTAGGGATAGTGATGTCTGAGCAAGTTGAGATAGCAGTGTGATGCATTTTTGTGTTCCCCGGGATATTCCTCATCAATCCATGAACAGGTTTGCATATCTAGATGTCCCGGGGCTTGGGTGATTCTATCATAAGACCTGTGATTCAAATACGAAAGGTAGAACAGAGATTGATTCTAATCAGGTGTGTATACTGTGTGGATAGAAATAAAGTTATTATACAAATACTTCCATGTACTATATGCATATTTAGTATGTTGTCGCCGGCTGTTATGCGAAAACTACCACCACTATAATCACTTGTTTTCTTTCTATTTTTTTACGAGTAGAATAGATTGCAAGATGATTGAGAAGGGGCACGGTATTCGGCCAACTTTGGTTAATGTAATGCCTGATATTTAACCAGCTGAATTATGGGATTTACTCGTGTTGTTAGACCACAATTGGCAACCGAATGGTGAATGCCAAGGCATTAATAACTAGTAATTGAGTCCTGCAGGGAAATCGGCCAAAGAAGAAAAAGCAAAATAAATGTTCATGGTACAAGGATCAGATCAATAATTGCTTCTTTCCACCTTGCGCCTCTGCTGTGCTTAGTTATGATCACTCTTTTGTGTTACACTTTTTATTTGTCACCATGTCTCCGCGTCCCAGATCTGGCATGTGACCTACCGCACATGCATTCTACTGAGTAATGATGTGTTGGTTGTTGTTATGTCATCAATTATCACCAACATCAATCAACTGATTGCTCCTCTCCCCACTCCTGTCTTCATTTATTCACTTTGACATCTCCCTGGGCCAGGTCACATCTTTTCCAAGCTTTTGCTTCCAGGATTTGAACTTCTAAGCAATTTTGCCTGACTAGTACACATGCCACTGTTCCTAATCAAACTCAAATAGGACAAAGACAAATTTGTTTGCTTCATTTTCTTGACTTCTACAAGAATACTGAGAAACAAGGCGGATGGAGAAAGTAGGCTGTACGCATCGTCAATCCTGATTTTGGATCCATAAATAAATTATACACAAATTGCTCGCCTCATTGCCCGTATAACAAATATATTAGCACAAGAATACAAAAGAAAGAAATAAAATATAAATTATCATATATATTTAGAAAAAAAAAATAGTGCTCAAGCTGAACCAAAAAAACACACAATTAACATGCGGCGGCCCACACTCATGGTTGCACCAAAAGAATTTGAATTACAACTCAATGGCGCGCAACAGCATTCCGTTAGTAGTAGGGAATAACGGGGGAGGAGGAGATGCGTACGATACTCCTCTAACTGGTGGAAGTGGTGTGCTTTCAAATGAGCGTGGCGCAGGAGGAGACGGAGGTGGCGGTGATGGTGGGGGTGGGGATGAATATGAATAGTGTGTTGATGGCGGAGGAGGGTTTTGATGCTGTGGGGATGGTGGGTAATGCCATTGATGTTCAGGTGGTGGATGGTGTTGGATGGTGATGACCAGGTGTTGGCGCATATGGTGATGGGGTTGAGTAGTGGCTTGGCGGTGGTGGTGATGATGCTGGAGTTGTGCATGCTGGTGGGGGTGGTGGAGAGGAGAAGAGGATGACATGGCTCATTGGGTGGTGGTGATGATGATACTCTACTGGTGGAGGGGGGAACTGAGTCCCCTGATGCTCATGAGATGGCGGAGGGGAAGGTGTGTATTTCCCATTGGTGGTGGAGGTGGAATTACTGGCTGCCCCTTTGAGGGATAAGGAGGTGAAGGTGGAGGTGGCGTTCTATGTCAAAGTGCGGCGGGGAATACTCAACCTGAGGTGGCGGCGGTGGTGGCGTTGATTGATTAGGCGTGGGAACATAATGAACGGTGAGGGTGGAGGTGGTGAGGGTGGTGTATTGTAGTAATGGCTTGGTGGTGGCGAGTTGTAGTAATTGTTTGGTGGTGGTGTATTGTAGTAGTGGCCTGTGGAGTTGATGGAGGGGGTGGGGGTGATTGTTTGGGCCCATACTCAACGAGTGAGGCGGGGTGATTGTTTGGGCTCATAGTGAACTGGTGGAGGCGGCGGCGGAAGATTCGTCTTGGGTGATACTCTTTGACTAGGGGGTGGTGGAGATGTAAAGTGGGAGTAATTCGTGGCGGTGGTGATGGTGAGGGATGCAAAGGAGGCATTGGTGAAGAGTGCGATGATGGTGGTGGTGGAGGATGTGATCTGGTGGAAGGCGAAGACTTTGAAGAAGGTGGTGGTGGGGATTTCATAAACGGCCTTGGCGAACTAGATTGACGCGGTGCGGGAGGCCTTGGAACAGGAGCCCTTCAAATTGGCGTTGGGGAACTGCCACCACCGCCAGAATTTCCACCAGCACCACATTTGAACTTGCTGCAGTTAACGGGCGAGCGGCATCCGAGGAGCATTCCCTGGAGGATCTCTGACCCTTCTTGCCAGGAATGCAGTTCATGGTACCATTTGTCACCTTTCCGCCACCAGATATTGCAGAGCACTTGGTGGTTTCTCCGGTGAAATAATTGAAAGAGTAAGTAAAGTTTTGCAAGTTGGGTAGCTGGCACGCATTGGCTGGAATCTCACCCGTGAAGCTGTTGTGGGCAACATTCAGCTGCTCTAAGCTCTTCATGTTGCCAATGCTGGACGGCAAAGACCCCTGGAGATTATTGAAGCTCACATCAAAGACGGTAAGATCCTTGAGCATCCCGATCTGTGGAGGCAAACATCCAGTAAGATTGTCGTTCATGAGGATGATTTCATTCAGCGTTTTGCCCATCATCCCAATGCTTCCAGGAATGCAACCACCGAGATCGTTGTTGGCAAAGACTAGCACCGAAACGGGAGAGTTTCCAAGATTCTCAGGAATCCCAAATCGGAACCTGTTATCGTTTAAGAAAAGGGCATCGAGTTGCTTGTCGAAGAGCATGGAGGGAACGGACCCTTCAAAGTCATTGAACCGAAGATCCAAGTACTTGAGAGAAGGCAAAGACAGAACCACATCGGGGAACTTGCCTACAAAACGATTGTTGCTCAAGTCAAGCTCATGAAGCAGCTTCATGCCGCGAAAGCTGGCGGGAACAACACCACAGAAGCGGTTGGAGTTAAGGTGAAAGAGTGCAAGATCGGCGAGGCGGCCGAGCTCTGGAGGGAGATAGCCAGCAATGTCGGCGTGATTGAGGTCTACGCCGGCGACAACTCTGATTTTGGGATTGGAAGGAGAGGGAGCACAGTAGATTCCCATGTAGGAGCAGACATCAGAGCCATTCCAATTGGCTGTGAAGTTGAACGGGTCTGAAAATATGGCCGACTTCCAGGCTTGCAAAGCAATGTAGGCTTCCACGTAGCATTGGTTTCTCAAACCGCAGATTTGGATCTACCACAACATCCAACTGGTCATCCTCACCTGCTGCAGAGCAGAAGATCTGGGAGAGAAATGAAGAAGAAACAAGCAAGAAAAGAATGAAGAGGAGGGCAGGCGAGGAGGAGACATTTGCGAGTGGTTTGCACTAGAATGGCAGAGAGGGCCAGAGAGAGAGGTCACATGAAGAAAAGTGTTTTGTGTCATATGAGATATGCCCGTCTCCACATGGTTTGTTTTATATTTTTTCTCTGGGGTGGGGGAGTGGTTCCCATTTTAGTCACTGTATCTCTTTTATTTGTTGGATTGAGTTGGTCAGTTTACCTTAGCTTCGTTAACTGTTGATCTTAGGATGGAAAATTTGCTTTGTTTTTCATACTAAATACAAGTAACCCCACTAAACTAAAATCTTTTAAAGGAACAAAATGATGACATGCTGGCACGTCTCCATGCAAATGGTGTATTAATGTTTGACGATTCGTTCAGCTCGACCTTGCTTCTTCAGGGACGTGTGAGCCACTGTCTTTGTCACTTTCCCCAGCTACCACGACACGGAGAATTCAACATGGATTCACCCATTTTTACTTTCTCTTTATGACTAAAACACCATCCATCCAACCCTCCCCAATCCCCTTTGACAGACCATGTTTACTTGGTTTAACCCATCACTCTCCTACTTTTTACTCTTGCCTACAATTATAGAACCGTAGTGTGGCTGGAGCAGTCCAACTTGTAATGTTCGTGGGACAACAGAGCAGGCTTCGTATGTTTTTTTTGTTTAGAAAAAAAGATGGGCTGGCAAAGCAAGAATGCGCGTAGCAAGTAAGCAGTCAACCGGAGTGATGCGGGGCACAACTATGATATATAATCGCTCCAGCCTCCATTTAAAATATACTAATAGTTTGTTGCTAACGAGAACAAGGGAGGATTCATCAACGTTCGCTTGTTAAATTCGATGCACCATAATTAAGCTGTTTTCGAATTCTTGATTAAAGTTTCTATTTAGAAGTTTTGGGTTTTTTTTTTCTTCCAAAAAATAAAGATAAAAAATACATAATAAGAAGCATAATGTTAAAATACCACAACATATATATATATATATATTTCTTTTGAAAAGTATCACAACATATATCTATCGCCAAGTTAATTGATAATAAATAAAATGATTCTTATATTTAAGCATAACATATCAACTGTATGGCATGAATTTCATGTGCAGAGTATCATAATGGATGTAGTAATTTCTTTCACCGTGGTTGTAAACAGAATCAGTTTGGTTAGGGTTGAGGGTAGCTACTTGTACAATAATATCACAATGGATGTAGTAATGTAAATGTGTAGCCTAACAGGAAAGCAGTGGGTGATGACAAACGAGATGCGTTTCAAAAAGATAATAGGAATTGCTAGTGTAAACAAATTAACAAATCCTAGCAGCACCAGCTCGTGGCACTAGCTGCCTGCCAGTGCCAGGCAGACAGGCAGAGAGAGGTGGGTCCCATTCTAAACTGGCTGCACGATCTTTGAGACTTTTTCCAATTTCGAATCTTTTTCGTCACGGTGAAACCGCGTTTGGTTCTTGCCTCCGACTCTCCTCTTCTTCCTGTTCTCATCTCGACAAAATCATTAAAGATAAAACGTTTAGGATGGATGGATGTTTTTAGTGTTTTCATTTTCTTTTCATTTTGTAAATAATCATTCCATCACATAGAGACAAATGGTCAATCATTATTTTTGCTAGTTACCTTTTTCGTTTTTTACTTTTAAAAGGTCACTTAATAAAAACTGCAAACGGTGGAAAGCCAAAATCAATTACAATTAAAAAAAATGAGTAAGCAATTGAAATAAAATATTAAATTAATAATTATTCTGTACAACCATCAAATTATATATATTATTTTTTAAAAAAATTACATATATAATCTTTTACATTACAAAAGTTCTCCAAACAAATCTTTTGATTTTTGCTC